CTATAAATTTATATTATAATTTAAATATATATTTATTTTATTAAAATATAAATTTTATTTTTTAAAATATATTATTTTTTAATAAAAAAAATATGTATGTATCAAATGATAGTGGGGGCAAGTGCCCCCACTCTGCTCTAGGTGGATCCGTCAATGGTGTTACATGTTGCCTAATTTGAAAATGAACTTTATCCACTTTAGCCTGCAAAGTATTAGAGTTAACAAATAAGTTAGTAAATAATTAATTATTTTTCTGTTTTTAGTTTAATAGTCTGACTTGGTCACCATCCACTAATCACTCTACAAAATTCATATCTTATAGATATAGTAACTTACTTGTATGTATGTATGTATAACATAGAGAGAATATGAATTCATTTACACTAAGAGTAGGTCTACTTACAGCTACTCCACTTAATAACTTATGTTAATAATTTTTTATAATCCAAGTTTAAAATTAAAAATTCTTAATGCAAAAATCGATTATGCAAATTTTTTAAAGAAATTTACAAGATTTTGATTAGAGTGTTCAAGGTCCTTTCAGTTGGAAATTTTAGGAAGCCTAACAAGTATGAATAATTCATATCTTTAGGGTGGAGAAAAAAATAGACACTAGAAAGGAGGTTGAATAATCTATATCAAAAACTCGCATGTTTTTAAGTATGTGAACTAATATCACAACAAATGAAGGGTCAGAAAGAGTTATCAATAAACATAATGTTTTTATACTGGTTTGTGACACCTTCTATCTTGCATACCATAACACATAATATGTGAAATAATATCATAACAAATGAAGGGTCAGAAAGAGTTATCAATAAACATAATGTTTTTATACTGGTTTGTGACACATTCTAACTTGCATACCATAACACATAAATAATAAAATATGAACAACTTAATCCTACGCGTTCTATTATCTCATTTAAAAGGTCCAATGAGTTGGGGATGATATTCTTTCACCAAATGGAACATGTTTTAACACATTCAAGAAAGCGGCTGAGCATCGGGGCTTTTTAGAAAGTGATAATAGTATTCACAAATGCTTAGTTGAAGCATCAAGTCTACAAATGCTTTATGCTTTAAGGAGTTTGTTTGTAACTATATTAATCTTTTGTGAACCAACCAATGTTAGACAACTTTGGGATGATTTTTACACCTACATGATGGAAGACTATCCTTCAACAAGCATTGCTGTGTCAACAAATTTCATTAACATGTTATTAAAGGATTTGAATGACCTTTTGATTCAACATGGAAAACAAATCACAGATTATAATTTGCCAACAATAACAATGGAGAATACTTATACTTCTTTGATGCCAAGGGTCATACAAGAGGAGTTATTCATCCAGGTAGATAATGAAGATGTAGAATCTGTGATTAAATTAAATAATGATCAGTTAATTGCATTCAATGCAATTATGGATGTTATCAACAATAAACAAAGTCAAGTTTTCTTTGTGGATGGACCAGGAGGAACAGGTAAAACATTCCTTTATCGCACTTTAATTGCAAATGTGAGAAGCAAGGGACAAATTATTTTAGCAACTGCCTCTTCTGGTATAGTTGCCACACTATTACCTGGTGGTCGAACTGCACATTCTAGATTTAAGATACCAATCAATGTAGAGGAAGATTCATTTTTTTCTATAAGTAAACAGTCTGATCTTGCGAAACTAATTAGAGAAACCACAACAATCATTTGGGATGAAGCACCCATGACAAATAGATATGCTCTGGAAGCATTAGACAGATCATTAAAGGATATTCTAGATTGTAATGCTCCATTTGGTGGTAAAATCATGATATTGGGAGGGGATTTTCGTCAGGTGCTTCCTGTTGTTCCAAAGGGTACTAAGGCACAAATGATATATGCATGTATTGTTAAGTCTCATTTATGGCCTATCACAAAGGTTTTACATTTGAGACAAAACATGCGATCATTACAAGATCCTAATTTTGCAGAATATCTAATGCGCATTGGAGATGGTAATGAACCTACCAAATTGGATGATATGGTCAAAGTTCCCCATCAAATTGAAATAACATGGGAAGGGGAAAATTCAATGCAAAAACTTATTCGTGACACATTTCCACATTTAGAATCTCATACATGGGATGCTTCTTATATGGTAAAAAGAGCCATACTAACACCAAAAAATGAGGATGTTCAAAAGCTTAATGACATTATCATCAACCAATTCCTAGGAGAAAAACGGCATTTGTTATCATTTGATGAGGTTGAAGGGGACACACACAACTTATATCAACAAGAATACTTGCACTCTATTACTCCAAGTGGTTTCCCACCACATAATCTGAAGGTTAAAAAAGGTGCACCGTTGATGTTGTTGCGAAACATAGATCCTAAAGCTGGCTTATATAATGGAACAAAGTTATTATGCCGTGGCTTCTTTATGAATATGTTGGATGTTGAAATCCTAACAGGTCATAATGCTGGAAAGAGATATTTTTTGCCCAGGATTAAACATAAGACAACAGAAAGTGCAGGACTTCCCTTTGTACTTATTAGGAAGCAATTTCCTGTGAAACTAAGTTTTGCAATTACCATAAATAAGTCACAGGGACAAACAATACCCAATGTTAGAATTTATATTCCGCGACATGTTTTTGGTCATGGTCAATTATATGTTGCTTTGTCAAGAGGTGTTTCTCAAGCTTCAACGAAAATTCTTATTAAAGAAGGAAAACTTGAAGGAAATGATGGAAACTTTACGAAAAATATTGTTTTTAAAGAAATTTTGTTATCTCAAAATCAAGTGTTGCCCCTTTTAATTTATAACTATGATGGATTTAGATTAATACTTGATACTGATATACAAAAACTAAAATTTGTTTCTTTTATTTTTTTTTCTACAGTCAAATTAAGATTCAAGGAGATCCTCCAGTTATATGAAGAGATCAATAGAAAGAATTTGAATATGTATTTTGACAAACAGGTAAGTGATAACATATTTATTCACTTTTTTTTATGAAACTTTATTATCATCTATTTTTAATTATATTACTTATATTTACTAGGAGGATGACTTTCAAAAATTATGGAATATTTGGAAGGACAATGATTCACTCTCAACAATTTCTCTCATTGACAACAAGGTTCAATTTAATTCATGCTTAGACTTCATATTTTGTTATTGCTTATCTATTTAAATTGAATTTTCTTTGTGACAGGTTCATCGTTTAAAAGTATATTCTATTGGGTGGAGTTCTACAGTAATAGTAGATAAAACCCAACTTTGGAAAATGGTGAAAAAAGAATTGTTGTCTCAAAAATTAGAAAGGTAATATAATAATATGGTTCTAAAAATAGTTTATATGTGATAATTTCATATATATAAAAATATAGTTGTATTATTAGCTAATTTAAATAAATTCTAACTCATATTTTTTACAATAATAGGACACTTGAAAATGCAAGATCGACTAATATCTGTCATATTAATAACTTTCATGCAAAACAAGATATCTCCATTTTTGAGGTTGTGGTAATTTTTTTCGTAACCTATAAAAATTTACATCAAATATTAAATCTCAAATATTGATACTTGACACTATATTATTTGTTTATGCAGTTTTTTAAAGTTAAAGAAATTATGGACGATGTATTTTATAAAGAATTAAAATTTATTCTCGAAAGGTATGACATTATGCAATTTATTTATTCTTTATTTAAAATGTTGTTTATTATTTATTGATATTTAATTTCGTTAATTTTGTTCATAATTTGCAGGGAAGCTATAAATCGTCCTGAAGCGAATTCATTATTTGATCTTCCTATTAAAAAAAATTTATGATGGAAAAATTGCATTTGATTATTATATATATTATTTTATTCCATTATTGCAAATATAACTATGTAGAACATGAATTTTTATTTTATATGAACTGGCCTTCTATCATGTTTTCATTATTATGCACTTCATCAATGAACAATGATTGAATTTATCATATTATATTGTGTAAAATTATTTATAAAATTATATGTCAAGAATTAATTCATTCAATCCGTGCGTTATTTTAAAGTTAGAGATAAAATTCATATAGAGGCACGAAGTGCCTCGGCCCCGCTAGTAATAATAATAATAATAACAATAATAGGAAGATGAACAAAGAAATTCAGGTCATGGGTATAGAAGGTGTAAGGTGTTTACAACACAAAAATAGGAAGATGAACAAACTTTCTAGAGGCCTAGTCTTTCCTATGGTCCTGGTTCCAAAATTCCATCCCCCACCATGATTTCCTATACTAAAATTCTTTCTCCACATAACCAACTCTCTCATGTGGTCTCTCCTTTAGTACTTCCAGATTGACACTTAGTTAGGCTGTTTTTCTACCCTAGACATATCAGGTGCATCACTCCTCCTCTCTCTGCTTACATAATACATATGCCGTACTCACTACCTAATAGGATCATCTAGCCTGTTTTTCTTACAAAAATAAGATTAATGGTAATCGGTACCAATAGTGAATATGGATATAGATTTTATAAAATGTTAATTACTTCATAATGCTTCCTCTCTCTCTTAGGAACAAGTTAATGACCATGTTATCTCTTTTTTTTTTTTTTATCATTAAAGGTTTTTCAAGATATTAATTAAAATTATTAAATATATTTTTTATTAAAATTATTTTTAAAATTATCATGAGAATTATTAATATTATTTTCTTATTTAATATATTAAGAAATCATAAATAATTCTGCGTCAGTTCTCATTATCTCATCTATATAGTACGACATATGCTTTAAAATCACATGTATTAATAATATTTAAAATAGATTACGTTTTATTCCCAAATCCATTTTAAGATAAAATCTGTAGAACTGGATTTTTGATACAAAATCAGTTTTAAAAATTGATTATAGTTGAAAACTTGCTTAGAACTAAATTAAGTACATTCTAATTTGGAGAAAACTTTTCAATAGGCACTTATATAGTTGTTGTATCTGTTTTTTTTTTTTTTCTGTAATTCTATTGTTGTATCTATTTTTTCTGTATTTAGTTGCTGAATTTGCTGTTTTTGTTGTTTTCTGTCAATAGTTACTATATTTTTACATTGCATTACATCCTTGTATTACATATTGGTATTACATATATGTAGGTACATATGTTAAGTTGAATTTGTTGGATGTTACTATGAGCTAAAATTTTTTTTAAGAATATTTTGGTCATTTGGCAAAAATATATAGTTCGGATTGTCCTGAAATTTTGCTGAGAGATAGAGAAGATTGTTTACTTTGATAGGGTCTAGGATATTTCTAACTTCGTTGAGTTTTACAAATTTTAGGCTTATGATGATCCCTTGAAAGCATTTTCAGAACGTAATAAGGTATGGAACGTAATAATATCTAACTTGCTAGCTATAACTAGTGAAAGAAAAGAACTGTAGAACAATTCAGTAACTATTTTTCTTATGCTTACTTGTGCTCTGTTGTTTCCCATTTCCTTTTGTCTCTTCAGTTTGGGAATCTACCTTATGGCTTCAGAGAGAACACACGACTTGTTCCTCCTATTGCAGTGCAGTCACTTGCAGTTTTCCCTCCCCTTCCCATGGAGGATGAAAGTTGGGGAGGAAATGGAGGTGGCCTAGGAATGGATGGGGAGTTTGATTTGATTCCTTTGGCTGATGAGTTTTCATTTATTGCATCTATGCCTAGCAAGACAGTAGAAGAAAGACAAATTCATGATAGAAGAGCATTCCTTCTCCACACCTTATTTGTTGATGTTGCCATTTTCAGAGCTATTAGGGTTGTTAAACATGTTATGGGAGAGACAGGTTTAGGCTGCTCAGTTGTAGAAAATGACATTCTTTACACTGAAAGAGTAGGTGACTTGAGTATCAAAGTCTTGAAAGATGCTTTTGTTGCTAGTTCACTACAAGAAATGTTACATGTAGTCATATACAAAAAGTGTCACTATAAGTACAATATATGTAAGTATATGTCTATTTGACATATAGTTAGTTACACACAATTTTAGTGTTGATTTTGAATGAGATTTAACAACATATTTTGTGTGTCACTATAGTCTAGAGCCACACTTTTTAATAATATACCAACATATATTGTAGTTATTGTGTGGGTAAAAGTAATTTTTAGTGACATATATAATGTCACTATAGGGTGTGTGTCACTGTATGACTATTTTGTTGTAATGGTTGTAAGGTCGATTCTAAATTGATGGGGTTGAAGCTACTGGAATAAATCAAAAGGATCTAATAGAGCGAAATTTACCAAAATTAAGGATCCTTGTTACAATAAAATAATTTAAAATATAATTATATATATTTAAAAATATATTTATTTGAAATTTAAATATAATTTATCTGTAAATATAGTATTTTAAGCATTAGACATACTAAATTTATTTTAAATTTTAGTTAGATATAATAAATATTTAACTTCAGTATTATGCATACTAAAACACTAGTAGGTTATTAATAGTTAAAAAAATATCATGTTGCATATTAAATATTTATCTTAAATTGAAAATATAATTTATGTGTAACAATATCTTTTTATACAAATTTTAAATATAATTTATATATTTAAATATAGTACTCCGTACTATTTATTTGTATATTTAAATTTAAATAAATAATATATAATTTAAATATACAATATATATAGTGTATTTATTATGTATTAAATTTAGTTTTATATATTAAAAATTTAACCTCTAAAATGTGTATCTGTTAGGATGACAACAAGTATAGTCTTATCTTATACTTGCATTTAGAAACAATACTATGTGCGCATATAGCAATTTTGATCCTATTCATGTATATCTCCATGTAGCAATTTTCAATTTTGTTTTTGTTGTGTCCATAGTGTGTTTGATATTCTTTTATTTATGACTTCAGTTATCTTTAGCTAATTTTGAACTGTTAGAACTGCTTTGGATTCGCTAATAAAGAATATGTTTTAAAAATTTTGCATTATTAAAGATAATTAAAGGCATTACTGAAAATAATTGTTTAAAAGAATTTACATTACTACAAGTATGCGGTATTATTGGTTAGATATCTATTTCTTTGCTTTAAAAGATTATTTTATTATTAAACTTTGAACTAAATAAGAACAAATTTTATTCATCTTTATGAAAATAATGTGGCATTAATTATAAGACGACGTATGTGCGCATATATTGTTATATATTTTCATTATTTTAATTTAACATATAACATTTTTGAAAATTAGAAGCAAAACCAACAAGCCTGCAATGAAAATATGGTAATGAATATTTTAAATCCAATAGTTTCTGGGGTCACCGTCAGTCCAAAGCATTATCCTACAGAGCCATGTTCCCTAACTAACTTTTAATGCTGACTAAACGCAGTAATGGATCTCAATTAAGTCAATAAAGTTGATCCAAAATGCTATACCTGCATCCTTAAGGAGAATTGTGTACATCAATTCTTTGTAGCTTTGGCTTGGTTGGCAATTCAGGTTTGGTACCCTATTGATTAGGATACCTCAATAAAATTGCTTGGCTAATAGAAAAAAAAAAATCTGTTTGGTTTATAAAAGTGAGGAATGGCAGAGGTGATGGAAAAGGATGAGATCATCTCATTCCATTATTGAATCTTATATACTTTCATCCTTTTTTTCAAATTTGGAGTGGACATTGCATTATTGAATCCTGCCTACTATCACCCCTTTTCCAAATTTGGAGTTTATCTTATATATGGAGCCAAAATTTTTAAAATAAAATGTTGAATTTTATCTTATTAAATTTGTCCAATAAATATTGGTGGCATTTTTTTGCAGTATTTTTGTGTTAATCAAATGACTCAACCTCTCTGAAGGCTTGGAGATAAAGTCTACTTCTATTAAAAGTTTGGCACCCTTCAGCCTAGTATAAATAACACTAGGTGTTCTCCTTAATTTCTTATTATTCATTCTCTTGAAACACACTTTGGTTAGCTACTCATGCTATGACTCTTATAATTCTTTCTCTTCTTCTGTTGTTGAACATTCAATATTCATATTCAAGTTATGATTATTTAAAGTTGGCCCAACAATGGCCTAAAAGTTATTGTAACTTTCAAATTCAATTTGGAAGTAAAACATGCAAAAAGCCGATACCATTGAGATTCACTATCCATGGATTATGGCCATCCAATACATCCATTTCTTCTCAACCAAATC